GGATTTGTCAAAATGACCAACTAAATCGCAATGCGATCGATAATTAGCAACGCGATCTTCGGTATCGCAAATCAGTTTCCAGATTCACAACGCGATTCTAACTATCGCATTGCGATATCCCAAATTCGCGTTGCGATTTTCCTAATTCGCAATGCGAATACGTAAATCGCAATGTGATTACGTAAATCGCAACGAGATTCTGACTACCGCAATACTGAATTTCAAATTCGTAACTCGATTTCTGAATTTGTAACAGGTTTTAATTAATATTCGTGTTTGGAACTTGAAAATAAAATACGCGTAGCGATTCTAATGGCGCTTTAAAAATCGCGTTGCAATTTACGGATACGCGTTGCGATTTTACGTATTATCGTTGCGATTTACGGATACGCATTGCGATTTACGTATTCTCGTTACGATTTACGGATACGCGTTGCGATTTACGTATTCTCGTTGCGATTTACGGATACGCGTTGCGATTTTACGTATTGTCGTTGCGATTTACGGATACGCGTTGCGATTTTACGGATACTCGTTGCGATAGTCAGAATCGCGTTGCGATTTATATGTTCGCGTTGCGATTTTCATATTCGCGTTGCGATTATGGAAAATCATGCGAATTTGTACTATCTCATTGCGATTCTGGGAACTGATTTGCGATTCTGGAGATCGCGTTGCGATTTTTATTTCACATTGCGATTTTTTTGGTCATTTTGACAAATCCAAAAAAAATTGATTAAAATCGTATATTATGAAGTATTTTTTGACACTGAGATTATTTTCTCTTTTTTAAAAAATACTCAATTCTTTTAGTTCGAGAGTCAGATATTTTTAAATACCACTGCCTATAGTAGTAATAATTTAAAATGTTACTATGGATATTATTATATCTTAAAACAAAAGCAAAATAACAAAGAAAAGCAAAAACGAACAAAAAAAATTAGTAGGAAAACAGAAGAGAGAGGGAGAGAAAACGGGAAAAAGAAAAGGAATGAAGAAATCAGCAGGAGCAGAGAAGAAGAAATCCCGAAGATCTTCGGCTTCCGTTCAAAACGTCAGCAGAGATCCCGGCTCCGACACTCCTCCTAGGGTTTGCTTTTTTTTTTTTCTTCTCTTTCTCATTTCATTTCTTTGATCTAGTTTTTCTTTTCATATTTTATTTGACATTTCTTCTTGTTTATTTTCGTTTTGATTTCAATTTTTATGTAAAGAATTTTAGTATAAATACTACTCATTTGCTTGAACAAGGAAAAGTACATGTATATATATCTAGAAAAAAAAATGAAAGATGGATATGGATTCGTGTTAATGTTTGCACCAGCTCAATCAGCGTACTACTACCATTTCCCTTTTTTTTTTCCTCTTTTGAGGAGCCGGGGCTGGGAATTTTACAGGATCTTTTATTTATTTAATTTATTATTTGTAATGTTCTGTTTAATTATCTCTAGAACTAAAGCAAAGAAGGGATAGATTCTCAGGCTCGGGTTTCCAATGCCTGAATTGTTCATTACATTCGAAAGGGTTATGTTGTCTTAGAATGTTTCAGAAAATGTTGCCTCCACAGTACAGCGAAATGGTAATTTAAATTACCAATGCCGTCCGAATCTATGATAACAACTTGACTATCTATGATGATATTGAGATTTGTGCTCAATTATGATTTGTTGTCAGTTTTCCCTACTATCTGATGGTATTGCCTTTTATTCTCAACTTTGATATTTGTGATACGGATTTTAGAGTTGTTTTTCAGTACGGATGTACTGCCTAGCATTTATTGTTGAACATAATTCATGAATTTTGTATTTTTTTTTGTTTTCTAATTTTCTATATAATTTCCTTTCTGGCCAGAAACAAGCTGCTAAAAAGGATGTGTTTCAGTTGTTTGCTGAGAAAGTGAGGGACCACAAAGATTTGATTTCGAGATGGGCTGTCTTGCAGGAAACTCGTGTTGAATATTTTAGAGGGAAGGATTTTGTAAGCTTTATGAAAAATCATCCTGAGCTTAAAGAGATACTTGAGTCAAATAGAAATCTAGAAGCTGAAGATATAGCCAATATTTTGTTACAAAAAAATATTTTGGTGCGCTGTGACCGCGTGGTGAAAACTGTTCGTCCAGGGAAGAAAAAGCTGTCTACCTGGCCTGCACATTTAGAAATTTTCCCTGTGAGTATTTTACTTGTTTAACTTCAAAATAATCTATAAATCATATACTGCGTTTACTCTTAGTTGTTGTAGCTGCTTGAATTTCTGATACACAAACAGGTATGTATGTGTTATGCATACATACCTGTGTTATCTTCTTGATATATGGAAAGAGTTATTTCTCCAAAATTATTAAATGCAGACAAGACTTGTACTGATAGTGCTACTCTACCCTATGATGCTGCAGCTCGATCTTTTTTTTTTTATGAGAATCCTTAAGATTTTGTGCTTAGTATTTGCAAATACCTTGTGTTAGACTTGTACACATGGTCTTCCCTTTGATATCACTGGTTTGAACTTAAATATAATATAAATTTTGAGGGTTTTTATATTTTATATACATGTATATTTGAGAGAAGTTCTAGGGGTTTGTTCCATTTTATTGAGTGGTTCCTCAAGTTTGAAGTCTCCTATGCGCCAAGGCTTAGAATCTTTGACAATTTATGTGATGTGGGATCTGAGTTTTTCTATGACATATTGACATACAGTTTTATGTTTATAACTATCCGCTATCATTTGCTTTCCTGCAAAGTTCATTTTAAACAGTTACCTTCCCCCTTTCCTCTCATTGCGCACCTTTGACGCTCTAGTTCCTTTTTTTCATATTAATTCTTAAAATAATATACATTTTCTTAAACTTGCATTGTTCATTTTATCTCATCATAACTTCTTTTAATTATTACAAAAAGAAGATGACTGTCAGATAGAACAAAGTTTTAGATGCTTGAATTTTGGAATGCTAACATAGGATTCTATCATTATTTCCTTTGTTCTTGCAACTGGCTGTGTCTATTTGGTTTAAGCTGTTTCTGTTCTATCATCCATGTGATTATTTTGCGGAAACAAATTTCTTCCTCTTTTTAATGAGGAAGTCTATATGATTGTTCCCTAGGTATTATGTAATTTATGTGTTTTAATGAATTATAAGGCACTCTTTTCTTCCTTCCGTTGATTAAGGAGCACTTTATGATCCATTAATCATTAAGGGGGTTTTTAACGAGGCCTGCCATTCTTATCAAAAAAAAAAAAAAATCTTCCTCTTTTTTATTTTTGAAAAAACAGATTCCAATATCCTGTTGAAACTAATGCCTTCTTGTGGATTTACCTATATCCTGACCTTTTTGCAGGAACAAGTGTTCTCTGAAAATGATGCGTTTTTTGCATGGACGTTTGTAAAACGGAGGCCATTATGGCAAACACTTCTCTCATTTATCTGGCCTGTGTTGACATTAGCAATTTGCTTGTTTCCTGTATATCCACATCGATGCAAATTACTAATACTCTACTGTTGTGCGGGAGTGCTTCTACTTATTCTCTCGTTGCTTTTATGTAAGTTTTTCTGTATTCATTTTTTATATTATTTTATATTATCATATATTAGATCCTTCTTTATGTAATTTGTTTAGTTCTTTTAGTACTATATTAGGTATGCGTTTGATTCTATTAAAATCTAAATTTTCTTTTGTTTACCATGTTAGCAGAAATTTATTTTAATGATTCTGGCTGAAGAAAGCAATAGTTGCTAGTTTGGTTTTCAGGTTGAGCAAAGATCTTTTGTTGCCATGATCTTTTTTCTCCATTCAAGGCTTTGTTTGCTACCTAAGAATTGCATTACATTTAAACCCTTGTTTTAGTCACATAATCCTATTGTCATGTATGTTCTGCTATCGTATGATCATCAGTCCTTCCTATTATAATCCTCTCGATTTTTTAATCACAAAATTTGCAGCGAGAGCTACAATATTTGGTGCTGCATGGATCATTCTAGGAAAGCGCTTTTGGTTCTTCCCTAACATTCTTGCCGAGGAGGCAACATTGCGAGAGTTATTCCGTTTTTGGCCCAAAAAAGATGAAGAAGAGCGACCAAAATGGACAGCAAGGCTGTTCTATGCAATAGTGGCTATGTTGGTCATATTGTTGCTGAGACACCATGCCCCTGATGAGGCTGCTAGAGCAAGGTCAGTTAATCTGCTCTTCTTTAAATATTTACTTAGAAGGCACCCTTTTTCTGTTGTCTGGCACAACAGTTCAATAATCTTATTGCTTTTAAAAAAATTGATTCAGTTTGTGAAAATCTTGAATATATTTCCTTGGTAATCCTGTCAATAGAAATCAGGTTTTTATGAGGTTGTTTAGTCTTTGGCAGTTACAGTTCTTCCTCCTTTTTAAAAAAAAAACTTTGTTTGGCATGTCAAACGGCTTGATCTTTCTGGACCATCATTGTTCTTGGAATCCTTAGCCGTCATACATCTGAAATTTTTACATTTACCCTTGCAGGTATCAGAAGCGAATGTCAAATATAATTGACGATGTCCTTGAATGGTCTCCGAGCCTGGCTCTGTCCGGGATGATGGAGAAACAGACAGTGTTTAATGCCACAGAAAACAATAACACTTCAAATGAAAGCAATGTAACCTCACAGTCAGAGAATGTAACTTCCGCCGATGAAACGGGAAGTTCGGAGGAATCTGATCAATATAAGAATGATAGATAAATCATGTTGGTAGATAGATCAAGTGAGAAGAAAAAATAAGTCAGTATTTATCAAATTTGTGTTTTTGAAGGGTAGACTACAGCACTAACAACAGGGCAGCAATGTCGTTGGATGTTGTAAACCATACATCCATTGAAACATTTGATGTGCTTTATGATTTGGTAGCCTTTCATAGAGTGATTCCATATTTCCAAGCTTTTATAACCAGGCCCAAGTTTCAATGTCTCAAAATGCAAACTAATAGCAATGTTAACCCAATCTACAAATTTCCGCAGGTACGTCTGTAGAAAAGCATCCCACAAACTAAAACAAAGTTTTGAGTTTTATTCAACACTATCTGTACAAGAATGCAAACTGGGGAAAATGAGGTACCGACAAGACAAAAAAGGTTGCCTTATTCCCTTGCACCCACAACCTAATAGCAAAGAGGAAAGCCAAGAATGATTTGCCGCCTTGACAATCTAGTGTCAAGATGAGATCATGGACAACGGTCTTAGAGTTAACCCTTCAGCTTCGGAGAGGGTGTTCTCTGTTCACTGGATAGCAGGAGGCCTACGTGAAGCCTGGTTAGAGGAGATGGTACCACCTCGATTCTGATAACGACCACTGCTGTCTATATGATGGGTGCCATGCATAAGGGACCCTCTTGCTTCCTTCTGGCTGAGGGTGGAGTTCCAGGTTTCCGCAAAATCAGCCGTAAATGGTTCGGAACCACTTGAACTAGCAGGTTGAGATGATAGAGCAAGTCCTGAACCTGTTCCTCTGTATTCTGCTCTCTGTTTTGAAGAATTAGCATCTGTCTTCTTTGCAAAACGCCCTCCACTACCTCTCGCCCGGCGCATAGCTTGCTGATGCCTAGATTCATGAAGATATGGCTGTAGGATATTGGAGATCAGAGATTATCAGGATAGAGGCAAGATGCCATGCATATGGAACCAGAGTAGAACCACATCTTAAATAAAAATGAAAATAACATCTGTCTCGCTAGGTCACCATTCAAACTCTAAGAATCATGTAATTCAACGTGAAACATCAAAAGGGGAAAGATAATTTGACAATCTCTTGATAAAGTGCACAGATTGACCGAATGAAGGAGTATGTAGGGATATGTCTACCTTCCGGACTTTAATATCCTTCTTCTCAAGTTCTGCTTTGGCACGTGCCTGCCTTCGCCTTAAAATTCCCTGGTACTGCTTGGCATTCACGTAAACAGGTTCTTGAGCCTTCTCAATTGGCAAAGCCATTCTTGCACGAGGCATTCCAACAAATGGAGGATAACCCTGAGCATTTCAAACATTTACTACTGAGAAAATATATCCTGTTTTGACAGTCAAGTATCGAAAGAAGGTGACTGATGATCTTGCTACAGAGATTTCTATCACGTTATTTTTTTTTTAAAAAAAAGGCAGTAACAGAAGAAAGGCAGGCGACTGATGGCCGATAACAATTAACATACGTAAAATCTAAGCCCTAGACAGATTCCCCTTTTTCCTTGAGTCAAATGTGAATCCCCAAAATATCAAATGCCACACAAAAGAAGAACGAGTAGGGGAAAAGGCAAAGCAAAGGATGGAAAACAACCCACTTACCAAACCAAGGAAAGAAGAAAATCATTTCAAACTAACATGTAAAACATAACAGCCATTTTTCAATGCTCACCAACCACTTCTTTTTCATAGTCGGGAAGGAAACTTAAAAGTCGGTATCATGGAACAATGATTCACTAACCATAAAGGATTGCAAGGAACTTGAAATTCAAAAGCATGCCTCTATTCATCTAATCAGCAAAGTCTCCAAAGATACTGTATTTACAAATATTATAAGTAAATAATTCCTTAATTATATAATGGAAAGTAAAAGGAATGGTTTCCTTCCTCGTCTCATTCTCCTATTTACAAATGTCAAATGATTGAGAATCATTATTATTATAAATAAAATACTCATTTTATTTATAATAATAAGTAAGGCAGTGAGCGGGGCTTTGATGAAGTCCCCACCCTATTGGCCGAAATGGATTAGGCAGCCATTATAGATATAGCTCTATAAATATGTATTCACAGAAATGGGGAAAATGCAGCTAGAGTAAGATAACTCCAACAAGAAACAATGGAGAGAGATTTGGGGAAAGAGATAATGGAGGTGAGGGAGTGTCATAGGAATGGCAACACCAAGCCTATTTCATGGAGGAGGTCTCAGCTCCAAGCCTTGAAAACTTTCCTCCTCCATTATGAGGTTCAGATTTCTAGGGCTTTAAACCTCGATCTAGGGAAGCATTATGTTGAAGCTTTTCGAGACGAGGTATGATTATTCCTTATTCTTTTACGAGTCGGACATTTAAGAATAAATAAAATTATTTCAATATTAAATTCTACACCGTTTCTTCGTTTTTTTTTTTTTTTTACTTTTGCTGGTTGGACTCTTAAAGAAATCAGTGAATCTTGCATTAGAGAATTTGAGAAGATGGAACGCAAGCACAAAGGTGCTCGTCCTTCGAATCGCATCCCTTTTACTAAAACATTTCTTTAACCATCTCAAAATTTAAATTTAAGCATCGTTGAACTGAGTAAGTTTTAGTTCAATTGATATGATTTATGTCGTAAAATTCAAGGGAGTATGTGTTTGAGTAAAAAAAATCCAAACTTCACCTCAAATTTTTTATTTCTTGCACGAGTTAACTAAGTCGTTCGTTATAGTTGTTTAAGTAATTGATAAGTAGGGATGGACATGAGACCTGAATTCGATGAGTTTTGATCCGATCCGATCGAGGTCGGGTTTTTTTTTTAAATCGAGTTCGGGTCAAGTTGGGTCGGGTTTGGGTTCGGGTTTAGGGTGAAAAATACTCGATTTGAACTAAAAAAAATATTTTACCTTATATATTTAGGGATAATTACAATAATACTCCTCTATATATTATTTTTTCAATTAAATCCCTATTTCTATTGAATAAAAACAATATTTTTATTATTATTTCGAATCGAGTTCAGATTTTATCTCAAAAAGTATGGTCGGGTCAGGTCGGTCGAAACCCGACCCAAACCCTACTCGTGCCCATCCCTATTGATAATGAGTATAGAAATTGTAGTCTTTAAAATAATGGGTAACTACATATTTAGTCATCCAACTATCATTTTGGTCACCATTTTTTCCAAAAACATTACTACCGTTATGTTTTAGACTCATTTTTGTCACATATCATTAAAAAAGGTAACATAACTACTGATGTGTCATTTTATATTTTAATGATGACATAGCATTATCTTATGGTGACACATTAGCATCACCATTAATTTTTTAACAGTAGGTGACCAAAATAAAACCAAAACACTAAGTTAGTGGAACTTCCCCTTGGGTTAGTTTTCTTTATTTATTTTCGTTTCCCATGAATTCAGATTTTTCGATAAATTGTTGTTTTTTGTTGCATATATAAACAGGACTATCCTTGGAGCCTTTAATAGGAGCCATAGCTGCAGGAAATGCTGTCGTTTTAAAACCATCAGAGATGGCCCTGCTTGTTCTTCTCTTCTTGCTAATACCCTTCCCAAGTACCTTGATAATCAAGCTATCAAGGTCATCGAGGGTGGCCCTGCTGTTGGCCAACATCTGCTTCAGCAAAAGTGGGACAAGATTTTCTTCACAGGTACTAAATTATAACAGATTGGATTGTTAATAGAAAACGTAATTCAAAACTGGGAATCATGTTCTTGTACCTTGGTTTAGCTTGCTTTACAAGTAAGGTTTTCAGAATTTTAAGAGTGTAGAACTAATGGTAGGAAGTGCAAACGTGGGACGGATGATAATGTCAGAAGCTGCAAAGAATCTAACACCAGTTACCCTAGAGCTGGGTGGGAAATGCCCTGCTATTCTTGATTCACTTTCGTGGTCTTGGGACACAGAGGTTTCTTTTTTTTTTTACTAAATTTTAAGCTTCGTTTGCTTGCAAATTACATGCTTATCGGTCTGTAACGGTTCGATTTCCGTCTATCAAGGTGGCTATAAAACGAATCGTTGGGGCAAAGTATGGATCTTGTGCGGGTCAAGCTTGTATATCAATTGACTATGTATTAGTGGAGAGGTCATTTTCATCTACTACAGTATGTCAAACTCTCTTATTCATCATATATATACTATCATTTTCTTCTCTTAAATGAAATCTGAATGGTATAGTAAATACAGAGTACCTCTCTCTGCAGGTGGAACTGTTGAAGGCCATAATCAGTACAATGTATGGAGATAACCCTAGAGAATCACACAGCGTTGCCAGGATAGTTAACAAACATCATTTCCTGAGACTTAAAAACATTTTAACTGATCAAGTCTTTATCGTCTATGGCGGCTCGACGGATGAAGACAGCTTGTAACTCAACCTAATATCCATGAATGATATACAAATCCCATGTTCCTTTCATTTATGATTGTTCTAACAAAACCATTGCAGGTACATTGAGACAACAATATTAGCGGATCCCCCACTTGAATCAGCAATAATGACAGAAGAGGTCTTCGGTCCATTGCTTCCGATAATCACGGTAAGGAACATCGAGACACTCCGAAAAGAAGACATTTATAGGCTTATATCAAGTAGTAGTAGTTTGCAGGGAGCAGTCCCTTTTCATCTCTTGAAAAATCAGGGTTTGTTTTGGCAGTTGAATAGGATCGAAGACGGAATAGATTTTATTAACTCAAGGCCTAAACCATTAGCGATATATGCTTTCACCAAAAATGAAGTGCTGAGGAAGAGAATCGTATCCGAAACATCATCCGGAAGTGTTGTTTTTAATGATGCAATCATTCGGGTACTCAGTAGCCATCTTAAAATGAGTTTATTAAGTTGGCAACCAAACCATTAAATCTAATGATTAGTGCCCCCCCCCCCCAAAAACACACACACATCAAATGCAGTTTGCAGTAGACACCATTCCATTTTGGGGCATTGGTGAAAGCGGGATGGGAAAGTACCATGGAAAATTCAGCTTTGACACATTTACGCACTACAAGGCAGTGGTCAGAAGAAGCTTCTTAACTGATTTTTGGTACAGGTTCCCTCCATGGAACAATCATAAGATGGAACTCTTGGAGGATAGTTTTGGTTACGATTATTTCGGATTGCTTCTTGTCATTTTGGGATTGAAGAAGTCTAGAAAGGCTTTTCATGTCAACTAGTTATGCTTCTATTTGTGTCATTGTGTGTGTATGTATGTAGAATACATGCATGGCTACGGCTCTCCTGTTAAATGCATGAAAAAAGCATTAATGATATGCCAGTCACAGAGAAGAAACATAAGAAAACAATAAGCATCGTTTGGTGCTAATTTGACTGCCTCTGCGTCCGTAGAATAATTAATTAGCAGCAAACTTTTGGAAGTTAATTACATGGTGTTATTATCCGTGTAGAAGAGCATTTCATTTATTTACCTTTGATTAATGATTAATGGACAGTAGTAATTCATGCCAAATTTAAATATCACTCAACAGGTTTTTAAAAATTGACTTATCAGTAGCATTTTATTATTGTCGATCGTCTAAAATTCTATTATTTAATTTTAGATTTTAATTTTTATCGTTAAAAATGAAATTAAAAATATTTTTTGTGCATTCATGCCCCGCACATATTGTAGGTAGTCACAATATGGAATCCAATTAACAATGAAAAATGCTCAAAGAATCACTATGAAGCTGATACGAAATAGTACAAGAGAAGGCAACATCCATTATCAAAGAATTCATCAAGGATCTTTATCAGCATTGGACCCTCATTGTTAAGAAAGCAAACACAATTTACATAAATGAAGAGTGCTGAAAAACGTAATAATTCTTCTTCTTCCAAATCAGATCTTCAACCTGAACAAAGAGATTAAAACAAAACATAGATCAAGTAGCCTTTTGAAAGTGTTGTAGATGTATGTGTAGTAACGAAGTGGAGATTTCACTTGAGGATAGGTACTGGCAGTGATAAGGAGGTGGTGGAAGAGTTATAGTAATAATAAGGCGGTGGCGGTGACAGAGAAGGAGGTAGTGGTGATTTATAGTAGTAAGGTGATGGGGGTGAAGGAGATGGTGGCGGTGGTGACTTGTAATAGTACGGAGATGATGGCGGTGGTGACTTATAACAGTAAGGAGGTGGCGGTGGTGATGGTAACTTGTAAATGTAGGGAGGTGGCGGTGGTGATGGTAACTTGTAAATGTAGGGAGGTGGTGGAGAGGGAGATGAGAGAGGAGGTGATTTATAGTAGTATGGTGGTGAAGGGCTAGGTGAGAGGGGGGTGGTGACTTGTAAACGTAAGGAAGTGGTGGAGAGAGAGATAGGGGAGGAGGTGATTTGTAGTAGTATGGTGGTGGAGGGCTAAGTGTAACACCCATTCCCTATATAATTTCCCGTACACAAGTCATAGATGTCACATGACTTTCAAAATATTATTGTACTTGAAAATCAGTAAAATATTTTTTTTATAAATTTATTTAATATTATAATATTTAAAATGTTCGTTTATTAACTACTAATATATAAATAACATTTTGAAACCCATCACATAGTAACTTAAGTTCGAATATCATATATTACTACAAACCAAATACCATATGTCCTATCAGAGCATCATATAATATCTAAGTACATGCCGACTATTAATATCAAAATAAACATCTAGAGATGTCATATTGTTACTGATGAGGCAATCCTTGACGGATGATTTCAGTTCACTCCTCACTCATATGATTTCATATGTCATATATTACTACAAGTCATGACGTACGTTATTACCTACGCGTGAAATCATCACACGCTAAGTATTTACTTAGTGAGATATAATATAATAAATGAGGCATATTAAAACATAAGTATTTCATAAAATATCAAAATACGAGTTTAATCGTATAAAATATATTAATGCATAAAACTATCTTAATAGGTCAATTTTCCCTCAAATAACCCGCGAAACAGTATTTCATATGTTTAACATACTTATCAATCAGTATTGTTGAAACATTTTAATATTTCGATATAACAAATTAAGTTAAATGAATTTTAAGATTTTCCAAATGATTTTCTAAGTATATTCGATATAACTATTCGAATATCAAAACATTACTCCAAATATTTCAAAAATCATTTTTGATCCTTACTTAAGTGTAAAATTAAGTTTTAATCATAAAACAATTTCAAAATATTTTATAAAGTATTTCGAACCAATTCAAAGCCAAAAATTCCAGATTACTCAGAGGGAACCGATTCCCCCCCATAGGAGGAACCGATTCCCCCCTGAATGGTTTGGCTCCGAGATTTCCAGAATGCTCGGAGGGAACCGATTCCCCCCCAAGGGGGTACCGATTCCCCCTTGTTCAACGGTCGAAATATTTGAATTTTACACTTAGGGAACCGATTCCCTATGAGAGGGAACCGATTCCCCCCACTGTCCAAGCTGTTTTATTAAATGTTTTCACACTAAAACGGCTATAATATCTTCTCTAATTATCCCCAACGTTCAGAAGTGATCCAAGGTGTATTTAAGCAAGCTTAGAAGCCATTGATCAAAAAGAAGAAACATCAAGCAACTAGAATCAAGAGAGAATCAAAGAGAAAGCATCAAACCTCAAGTTTGAGCATTTCAAGCCCATTTTCATTCAATATTCATTTGCTTTCAAGAACACTTTTTGTGCTCAATTGTATTCATCTTTGAGTGTTCTTTTCTTTGTTCTAGAATTGTGCAAACATCTTACCTTGTGAGGTTTCTTGTAAGTTTGCAAATTTGTAATCTTCTCTTTGAGAAAAGAGTGTTCTCAAGAGTTGGGGTATACTCTTGAGGAAATTGTAAGGTTATCTCTTTGGCCTCAAAAGAAAGAACAAATTAGTGAATTTGTTGGAAAATCCTTAGTGTGGATAGCTAAGGTAGTGGACGTAGACTTTGTTTGAGAAAGTCGAACCACTGTAAATCGCTGTGCAATTGCTTTCAATTTTCTGCAAAAGCTTCCACAAAATTTTTATTGCCAATTCACCCCCCTCTTGGCCAATTTCGTCATTCGATTAACTCAACAATTGGCATCAGAGCCTAACTCATTTGAAGGTTTAATCGCCTCTTGAGTCGATCCGGGAAGAGTTACATCGATTACAAAGTCATCAATGGCCTCCACTTCAAACTTCGACTCCGGTCTTGATTCGATGCCCGTCAACAAGCCTCCTTTCTTCAATGGAGCTAACTATGCCTATTGGAAGAATAGAATGATGTACTTCATTCAAGCAAGTGACATGGGAGCATGGAATGCTGTAGAAGAAGGATACATCAAACCTCTCACTCATCCAAGGTTGTGGAGTGAAGGAGAGACAAGAATGTTCCAGCTCAACTCCAAAGCCATCCATATTATTTTTTGTGCTCTTGGACCAGATGAATACGGAAGAGTTTCATCGTGTACAACCGCCAAAGAAATATGGGACAAACTTCAAGTCACACATGAAGGTACAGATGAGGTAAAGAAATCAAAAATTAGTATTCTAACGCATAGCTATGAAAATTTCAGGATGAAACCAAATGAAGACATCAAAGCTATGACGGATAGATTTTCAACGATTGTCAATGGTCTCAAATCATATGGAGAGATCATCTCAAATGAAAAGCTTGTGAGGAAGTTAGTCTACTCCCTCCCAAAATCATGGCAATCAAAGAAGACGGCAATCATCGAGTCTAAGGACCTATCGTCTTTAACTCTTGAAGAACTTATCGGTTCACTCCTCACTCATGAGATGATGCTTGAAGATGAGGTGGACCTTGATAAAGTTGAAGAGACACCAAAGGAGAAGGAGAAGAAGAAAAACATTGGAGTTGCTCTCAAATCCACAAAAGATGAGAGTGATTCTAATGATGATGATGACGAGGAAATGGCATTGTTTGCCAAACGGTTCAGAAAAATGATGAGACCTTACCAAGGAAGAAAATTCAAACGAAACGAAGGCCTCAAAAATGAATCAAAAGAGAAGGACCCAATCATTTGCTATGAATGCAAAAAGCCGGGGCATGTCAAATATGATTGCCCACAATTGAAGAAAAAGGGTCAATCAAAGAATAAGCACAAGGCTCATGTGGCTACATGGAGCGATGAAGAAGGTTCCGATGAAGAGGAACAAGAAGTAGCAAACTTGTGCTTGATGGCATTCGGGGAAGATTCTAAGGTAACCTCTAACTCATCTGATTTTGATGATTTATCTTATGATGAGCTATTAGAGGAATATAATGGGTTGGCTTCGGATTATGAGAAATTATTTTTAAAATATAAAAATGATGTTTCAAAATTGAAAAATGAAAATAAACTCATATCCAAAACCAACAATGATCTTGAAAGTAAAAGTAAAGATTTGCAAATCAAACTAGAAGAGTTTGAAAAGAAAAATTTAGATTTGCAAAATTTACTTTCAAAGGTCAATGATGATCATCAAAAGAAAATTGATGATCTTAAAATCTCTTTTGAAAAAGTTGGAACAAAACATTTTGAAAAAGGAGAAAATTCAAAATCCAACTTTGTTAGAAAAGATTTTAGAAACTACAATCATAGAAATCCTCAACGAACCTTAAATGGTAAAATATTTAGAAGTATATGGGTTCCTAAAGGACTCATTACTACTAAAGATAAAGATATCCTACAAAAATGGATACCTAAGGGAACTAGGATTTTGGAAACTAATGAATATGGACCCAAAAGAATTTGGGTACCAAAAATCAAAATTAATCTATGTTTGTAGGGAAAGGAGCATTGCTACAAGGCACGGGAAACAAATTCAAACTCATGGTACCTTGATAGTGGATGCTCAAGACATATGACCGGAGACAAAAGCCGGTTCATTGAGCTTAACGCCAAAAATGGAGGAGAAGTGACTTTTGGAGACAATTCAAAAGGTCACATTGAAGGTATTGGTACAATAGGTAATACCTCTTCCATACAAATTAAAAATGTTTTATATGTGAATGGATTAAAGCATAATCTATTGAGTATTAGTCAATTATGCGATAAAGGATTCAATGTCTTATTTGAAATTAATGGTTGTAAAGTCATTGACATTGCATCTAATCGGATTATGCTTGTTGGTCATAGAATAGGAAACATTTACATGGTGCATTTAGATTCTATTGATATGACTAATTTATGCCTAGTTGCTAAGGATGAGCATGATAGTTGGTTATGGCATAGGAGACTAGGTCATGCTAGTATGAGTGTTTTGCAACGGCTAATTCAAGGTGATTTAGTTCGAGGGTTGCCTAAGCTTAAATTTGATAATGATAAAATCTGTGATGCTTGTGCTAAAGGAAAACAAAAACGAGTTTCTTTTAAATCTATTAATGATGTATCAACTAGTAGAGTATTACAATTGATCCATTTAGATCTTTTTGGGCCAACTAGAACTACTAGCTTGGGAGGAAAACAATATGCATTTGTCTTGGTAGATGACTATTCTAGATACACTTGGGTTCTATTCTTAAGTACTAAAGATGAAGCATTAGAAAATTTCATCACATTTTCAAAAATAATCCAAAATGAAAAAGGTTACTCTATCACTAGTGTTAGAAGTGATCATGGAACTGAATTTGAGAATCTTGGATTTATTGAGTTTTGTAATTCTAATGGTATTAGCCACAATTTTTCAGCACCTAGAACCCCTCAACAAAATGGAGTTGTTGAGAGGAAAAATCGAACTTTAGAAGAAATGGCTAGAACCATGCTTTGTGAAAATAATTTGCCAAAATATTTTTGGGCGGAAGCCACAAATACCGCTTGTTATGTTATAAATCGAGTAATGATTAGGCCAATTTTAAAGAAAACTCCATATGAAATTCTCAAAAATAAAAAGCCTAACATTAGCTATTTTCATCCTTTTGGATGTAAATGTTTTGTTTTAAACAACGGTAAAGAAAATCTTGGTAAATTTGATGCTAAAAGTGATGAAGGAATTTTTCTGGGTTATTCCTTAAACTCTAAAGCTTATCGTGTATTTAATAAAAGAACTTTAGTTGTAGAAGAGTCTATACATGTTGTTTTCGATGATAATCCCCTTCCGAGGAAGGATTCTTCTGTTAATGATGATGTAGGTATTGTACAAGCAAATGACGTTAGATATGACGTTGGAGAATCATCATCAAAGGAAGAAACAAAAGATGAGGAAACTCATGATCCCCTCGAGAATCCAACCATTGAAGAAAGGGAAGTATCTTTTCCAAGAGAGTACAACTATGTCAAAGATGGTGAAATTATAGGTGATCCATCAAAAGGGGTAACTACTCGTTCTTCTCTTAGAAATATCTGTAATTATGTTGCATTTATTTCATGCATAGAGCCTAAGAACATCAAAGAAGCATTAAAAGATGAA